GGGGATGTGGGCGAGGGCCTGCAAGCGGGCAGGGCGGGAGATGGGGGGGGCGGGCAGGGCAAGTCCTTCCATAATCATTACGTCACCCAGCAGGCTGAACCTCCCCCTCCCCCCCCAGCACCCCGGCCAAACAAGGGAGCCGTTAAAAGCTTAAAATCCCAGATCCTGGAACGTGTGACCTTTCGGAAGCCGGACAGAAGTCGTAAATTATATCAGAATGTAAGGAAAACACATTTCAGTTAAGAACCGTACAGACCCATAAAATTCACACCTCAAGACTGCAGAAAGCCAAAGACTTGCTGTTAATATGCTGAACGCCCCAGACGTCACAGTCCCTCATGCTCGAGGGTCAGCGGGTATTGCACCATTACCACTGGAAACCGCGCGCTTTATTCGTCTTACAGTGAATAGCGAGAATGTTTCTGAAATTAATCTTAAGCATAAACCCTGCTTATCACATTCTCCAGCACATCTGGCTTAACATGGAGCAGCTGCTTCGGGCACTAAACTCCCTACAACTGCGGTGTCTGCCACTAAAGAGTGAGACCAAGAGCAGTCAGCGGCCCATAAACAGCCAATCAATGCACAGCGCCGTCAGGAGGACAGTGGGGGATTTATGCAAAAGAAAAAATTATATATATATTACATATAAACAAACAATCTGTATGGCAGCCACAGGAAATCGCTGGGAAGCTTAGCATGAAGCTGCTGGATTTAGAGTAGAGCTTCCTGGGACAGGCGCTTGAAGATGGCTGTACCCTTTGGAAAATACTCAACTCTCATTATGCCAAAAACATCAAGGTATGACTGTAAGCTACCCTTCAAGTGGGCATCTCAAAACTGCCCACAGAACATGCCTTGTGATGGACTGGGACCCTGTGCCCTGCTATTTCAGTAGTAATGCTGCTGTGTGAAAACTTCAGTAGCCCACCAATATCCTGGTCTAAATGTGTGTATGGTGTGTGTGTGTGTTGCATAGTCATGTGTACACATACACAAAGTATTAGGCAGTCAAAGAAAAGCTATTAAGCTTATGTTTAAAGCTATTTTTTCTGGGCAGTAAGTATATATTTGCTCAGAAAACAATACAATTGAACATTATTATATGAAGAGTACCTCAATAAAAAATAAACAAGAATTTCTTTAAAAAGATACTGATATCGTGCTGGATTTCGAGAATACCACCACTTAGGCTCCCAACCTTTCCACATATTCATACATTCCACGAGCTCACTAAATTAATTAAGTAATTAAGTTAATATAAATCAATAATTCAATGAGGTATTGATTAGCCAAACATGGTAGGCTAGTGGTCACTTGGTGTATTGAATGGTTGCTGTAAATATTTGGGTGACATTAGGAGATGTTTTTAAATGCCTAGACTGACACACTTTGATGAACATTATCAGTTTTGTGGCAACATTTAAAAAATATTTATACAGATAAAAATAGACCCTTGCATTTTACTGGAGACCAATTGTAGCACTGTTTCTTTGTGTAATGTTATGTTGTGTATTCTACTGTGTGATTCTACTGTGTGATTCTTGCAGAGAGCACCGACTCCCTCGTTTTGTTGTACATGCGCACAATGACGGTGAAGTTCACTTTGACTGGAGGACAGCAAGCGGAGGTGCTGGGACTCACCTGGCAGAAGACGGGGCTATGGCGCTTGCCAAGGATCTGGGCAAGCTTGTCGGCGTCGCAGCAGTCCAGGGGCAGCTTGTCCACGCAGAGGCACTTGGAGTGCAGGTGGGCGGCAGTCAATTGGTTGACGTCGGCCCACTGGACCATGAGGGCGCGGTCGCCCAACAGGCGGCCCAGCAGCTCGGAGCGTGCCCGCGACGCGGAGTCCTTCTTCATGTACTCCACGAAGCCGTAGCCCTTTGAGTAGCCCGTGCGCTCGCTGTACACCAGGAAGCAGCGCTCCGTGTTGCCGTGGGCGCGCACCAGCTCCTCGAACTGGGCAGCGCCGAAGGCGTGCGGCAGGTTGGTGATGCAGAGCAGCGCGTCGGTGGGCTGCAGCTGCACGGTGAGCTCGCGGCCGCGCACGCTGCGCTGGTGGAAGGAGCGGATGGCGTCCTGGGCCTGTTCGCCGTTCAGCAGTGTCACGAAAGCTGCGGGCGACACGGCGAGTGAGGGGCCTGGATAATGGCGGCTCGCAGATACCCAGCCACACAATTCACACGCAGGACACAGAGTCTGAGCACATACATTTATATGCAAGTGACTATCCATTCAGGGCTGATCCAATCTGGCTAGGAATGAATGAGACCCCCCCTCCCCAGCAGTCTAGAGGGATACAGAATTTCATATTTCATAACCCCTTTTTCAACAGCCTCCATGATAAGCAAGGGGGAGGGGACACAAAAACAAACAGAACAGAAAGGAAAACAGCGGCAGGCACTAACAGCGACCGCAGCAGAAACAAAGGATGCCAACCCTAAGTGTTTGGCTGAGCTTCCTGATTACACGTGACGGCGGTAAACGCAGACGGCCATTCTCCAACGCGGGTGACGGCGGTAAACGCAGACGGCCATTCTCCGACGCGGGTGACGGCGGTAAACGCAGACGGCACACTAACGTGGCGAGGAGGCACCTAATTACACGCCCATTACAATGTTGGCCTCTGCAAGACTACCTGTTCAGCCATGAGAGTCCCCCCCCCCACCCCATTCGCTATGCACATCTACACTTCGTGGAAACATAAGCCCATAAAATATGAGCGAGCAGCTTCCAGATAAGCGGCCATCGCTCACTACAGCCTCCCTGCACCATTGGAGGGAGAAGAAACTGTGTCGAGGCTAATAATTTAAGCTTTCAAAGAAGAAAAAAAATTACTGCAGGTTCTTTGTGAACAGGTACAAACGGCGAGGACAACGGCTTGGAAAACAGCAGGAGGGGGCTTAGAATTGAGGAGCACTAATAATTGAGATACTGAGGCTTTTCAAACAGTCGTTCAACAGCCCATCCAAGCAGGACAAGGTTGTCAAAGTTAATATGCACTTAAGGGTCCCCAGACTTGTGCTGGATGATGACACGAGGCAGGCAGGCACCTGAAGACAGAGCCCATTTAAGGACGCCTTAAATATATAGTGCACTGTATATAGTATATAGTACACACACACACACACACACACACACCTAATATGTACAACCAACCATTCAACGTCAAAACCTGGATGATGACCAAGTATGTAACTAACAACAACAGAATGTGTGAGTTAATTGGGCTCTAGGTTGCCCTTCCACACTTAAAAACAACTTCGCAGCCTGTCCAGCTGGGAAGCCCGGAGAGCAGCTCAGCTCCCGCTGCGCTGAAGGCTAGTTAAAGGGCAGGGATGGTGGTGGACCTGTGCTTCAGCGTCTTGGGCTTACAGCCACGTTGCATCATCAGACTCCATCGAACCTCAGAGCCCTGTCACCCAAGGCAGACGCTCCTCCTTAGCGGTCTCCTCACCCGCCGTAGTGCCAGACTCACCCCGGATTTTCATCGCACGAGATCTGCCTTACTCCTGTTCGGGGAATCTTTTGGACACGTCTAAGCTGACACTTCCATCACCGTGCTGAGTTTAAGTATGTTTACAGTTCTAATTACCCATGGGAAAGATGGAGAAGTTAAAAATGTGAGGTGCTTCAAGAGGTAGCAGCAGAGGAGGGAAGGAGAGGAGGGAGGAGGAGATGACGATGACATTCTCAACCTTAAACAGTCCAGAAGTCCAAACCATGGCCAAAGGTCCTCGTTTAACACACACAAGATTCTCTTAAGAGTTTGATTCATATGCCAGGTGTTCAAGAGTCCTTTCCCCAAACACCCCGTCAAAAAAACAAAAAAAAAAAGACACTATTTTTAATAGAAGGCTACACTATACAGAGATGTCCACAGGTCAGGACCCACTGAGAGCCAACTAAATGCAATACAAAAAATAATAAGGCAGGACGCAGTCTTCTGAAGCAGTTACTGCAGTCACAGATGAAGCTAGTCTACTTATAACAACCTAAAAAATGTTTTCACTGGGATTTTCTTTTAATGCTCTTAATTTAAGGCTGCAATTTTCTGGGCTCATTCTGAGCATGTTAGATACATACACGTATACTTATTTATTGATATATACACAGACACCCACACAAAGCACACCCACAAATCTCACACCTCACACGCACAAGAACACAAAGCCGCAGCACCAGCCGAAAGCATGTAGCGTGGATTCCAGGTTAGGCCCACCTAAGCCCATAATAAACTCCAAACAAACACGGCAGCTTTAGGCTGCCACGTCGCTCCAGGAGTCCAGGGAATCAACTCATTTCCTCTACAGGCCCCACATGAGCCACAGAGCAGTGGTCACTGTTAGGAGGTCAGGCCTACTTTGTAATGGTACAGACTCAGTAACGACTAAAGGCACTGGTTTTTCACCGGGTGACACAAGCTCCTCGCCGACCATGCGTACATTCGAATCAGGCTTCCCTCATCCTAATGCCCAGGGGGTATTTTAGCCAAGCAGACAGGCTGAGCCGCCGCCACCCCCCCGCAGCCTCATAACAGTTCAACACTATCATAACAAACCCGGCCCCCCCCATTACTCCCAATAACCGCCTCCCGCTGCGAGGCACCAGCTGTCCTCCGCGGGCAGTGGGACGAGGTCGACTCCCACGCCTTGGCGGAAAAAGGCACGGCGCCGGATCACTGCGGCGATGAGAAGGTGCTAATTCCCCACAAAAAACACTGTCACCCTACACACGTGTTGGTGTCTTATGGCCAATATTAACGAACGTGGAGAGGCGGC